TCTTGGCATGCAAACTATACCTCTAATTCTCATAACATATACTTTGGGCTTTAATCATTTAATTGTTTCACATAGCATTATTCAATTTTTCATTTTCTCACTTATAACATATACTCATAGATCATATTCAGGTAGGCTATTTTCACATAGAACATATTAATATAAATCATATACTTTTAGTATTTCACATAGAATATATATATATTCTTAGCCATGAAATCAAAACAGTGTTTTTAAAATACGATTTATCTAAAAACATAACATAATACAAATCATTTTGTTCAAAAACATTTGAGGTTGACTCATCTCAAGCCGTCTTCCAATCGTATATAAAATAGTAAGTATCACCCATATTTGCCTCACTTAAGCCCTAAACAACTCATTTTTCACTTTCACTCTATCTTTATAGGTCAATTCGTTCAGCACTTGCTTTCGATTGAATCTACACGATAACATGACCACGATGAATATCGAAGCTCAGTTAATTGTTAACCAAACAACATTACATAACTAAATAAAACACCAAATTCTCGATTTCAGACTGAATAATATCGGTACTCTACACCCAGTACTAATACCTCCTTTCTATGGTATCGATACTGTAACACCCATAACCTGTATAATTATACCTATACAGATTATAAATGTCACTCAAATTTTCGAAAACCATTTCCAATTTCAAATATGATTTGAAATTTATTTCCTTTAAAATGGTACATGATATTATAAAAATATAATATCATATGAATTATGATTCATTGTAACAAATTTAAAACCAAAGTATTTTTTATATGAATACTGAATAGTGAACAGTATCGTGAATAGTGAACAGTGTGCCGATGCACTGCTACAGTAACATGAACAGTGTATCGATGCACCAAAATTTCAAACTTAAAATGTGTATCGATGCACTGCTACAATGCATCGATGCACTGCTATAGTAACTGCTACAGTAAATTCTGAAAAAATACATATATAACTCATAAAAATTAACCTTTCATCACTATAAAATTCCCATTTTTGTTTCCAACTTTATTCAACAAATAAATTAAACATTATTAATTACATGCCACTATCTAATTCAAATTCCATCATAGGATGTCTTACTGATATTGAAATATTCTCATCGATGCTTGATGTCACTTTGAACTCTTTATTCCATTACTGGCTTTTTACCTACGCGTGAAAATCATCACACGCTAAGTATAAACTTAGTGAGGCAATTAAAACAATAAACAGTGCAATACAATCCATGCATGAATTTCAATGTCAAATTCAAAATGCCATTTTATCATGTTACTAGCATGTCCAATATTTTACCATGATCAAAATAATATAAATCTCTTACCATTTATCCCATAAGCTCGTAAGCTTATTTTACCAATATAATTACCATTTATCCATAAGCTCGTAAGCTTATTTTACCAATACACTTACCATTTAATCCATAAGCTCGTAAGCTTATTTTACCAATAAACTTACAATTTAATCCATAAGCTCATAAGCTTATTTTACCAATATACTTACCATTTAATCCATAAGCTCGTAAGCTTATTTTACTAATATACTTATAATTTAATCCATAAGCTCGTAAGCTTATTTTACCAATATACTTGCCATTATTCCATAAGCTCATAAGCTTATTTTAATGATTATCATTTATTCCACAATAAACCATAAACCATAGTTCATAGCCCAATATAAAACCCTGAGGACCCTTGGTATTAGAGTAAAATACCTGCACCGTAGTGCTAAACCTGCACTAAGCTTACGCCATAGTGCTAATCCAGACAATACACATAAGGTCGTGCCCACCACCTACACTAAGCATACGCTATAGTGCTAATCTGGACATGATACATAAGGTAGTATCCACATTCCCGCACTTAGTGCCCTTTCACACTATAGTGCTATTATAAACCTGCAACTTCTATACTCTATGGCATGCCAACTATACCCTGTCCCTCAATGACTTACTTGGGCATATAATCTATTTTATTTGATTCATCCATGGCAAAGTATATTATCAATATTTAACATTGGGCAGTTCATACCCGAAATAACATTCATGGTAAAATATCACATTTCCAAAATCAATGCATTATAATTTCATATTCTGACATATCAATGCCATGTTAATTTATAAAAATATGATATAATATCATGCTGATAAAAACAAGGTCGACTTATCGCAAGTCTTCCTAATGATGTATAAAACATCCATGTATAATTTCATGCATGTATTGCACTCACCTTGACACTTTAAAATTTTTCAAATATGTGCCTCACTATTGTCCACAATATACCCTTTTTATACTTGACTTGCTTCAATCGCAAATCAATCATGATCTGTATAAATCACAAATTTATAACGATAAATATATTAGTATTGTACTAACATAAACTTATCCCAGAACAACTCCATTTCTACCAAATATTAAACAGTTAATAATTCCTTTTAATATTGGAACCAACTTTTCCAATTTACACAAAATGATCCTTCACCATTTTATCACTTAGATTCTTAATACCAAAATTTCAGCATTGAAATTACTATCATTCAAATGCTTTACAAAGGCATAATTACATTTAAGTACCCCAACTATGCAAGTGTTGTACTTAAATCATCAATCTTTTCAAACTTCCAAAATAGTCATTTTTCACATATAACACTCTTTTAAATTTCCAAACAACAATTTCCAGCATAGTAAATCAATTATACAACACTTATACAACAACCCCTCAATTTTCTAGAATTTATGAATTGATCTCCAACTTTTCAAAAATTACAAAATGGTCCTTAAATTTTTCTAAGACTTGTAGAATACTTCCTTCATCATTTCCAACCCATATATAATTTTCCATAATTTTCTCACTCAAACAATCCATGGCCAAAACTTAAAGAACAAGTTTTAGAAAGATTAAACATGTTCTAATCATCCTACATGTTTGAATATGAATCTACAACCTCAAAAACATCAAGATTCATCATCAATTTCATGATCCTTAATATGAACACAAACCCTTAGATTTGGGATCTTTGAAATCCAGCAAGATTATAAAGCAATATTGGTACCAAATGATAGCGTTTTTCGCGTAGATCACTTTCTTATTTCACGACATAACCCCAATTCCAAAGGAATTAGCTCAAAAATTGAAAATAAATTATTTTTCTTACCTTGAAAGCTTTCTCACGTGAATATGCTGGAGAAGAACACTTTGGCATGATTTTTTATTGATATCATGCTTATCATCCTTTAAAACATTATTTAAATCATTAACTTGAGAAAATACCAATATACCCTTAATATAACTTCATAATTACCATAAAACCTAGATACTTATCTTTATCATCATCAAAATAAGATAAATATCAGCCTTATCATCTTTTAATAGTTAAAGATGAACAAATTAGTTTTCCACTTTACCGTTTTGCCCTTGAAATTTCCAAAAATTACAATTCAATCACCACTTAATTCCTTAAACTTTTCCTAAATTTTCTACTTTGACCATCAAACTTTCAAAATTTACATTTTGGTCATTATCTAAATTTTTGGGGTATTACAGATACCTACCTTAGTATCGATACCCAAATTGCATTCTGGAATTTCATATTCACTTACAGTATCAATACCATACTTTTGGTATCGATACCTCTAGTATCAATACTACCCCTTCAGTATCGATGTTGTTCATCCAATTCATATGGTATCAATACTGTTCTTCTAGTATTGATACCCTTGCCCATATTTCACTTATTTTATTTCGAATTTAACCCAAAATTCACCTAAATCTCATACTTCTAACTCCATTCATGCTCTTAAACTCATTTATACTTATTCCAAAAACTTACATCAATTAAAATCCCTTTAACATCTAAAATTCTCCATATAACACTTGAAATTAAAAATCACACCCAATCTTTAACATTGTTACTAATCCTTTAACACTTCAAACATCTTTTTCATACCTTTGAAAGTCAAATATACCTTTACAATTCAATTACCAATCAATTTTCGTCAATTCTCTTGAAAAACCCACTTTACTAAATCACCATTAAATTATCAATCTCTTAGTTTTATTCATCTTTAAGCTTTCTTAAGCTTCTATACCACCCAAGAACTAAAAACCAACTCAAAAATTCAAGAACAATCAACTTTAAAATCACTTACCTTAGCATGGAGGTTCATGGTGGAGGAAGGAAGAAGAGAGATGAAGAGAAGAATTTCCAAACTATTCCTTTTATTCTTTCTTCATTTTATCACAATTTATATTAAACTTGAAATGAATTTTAAATTCTTTCATGCCAAAAGACCACTTTGCCATTTCAATCTTCAATCTTTGATAATAAGTCCTAGACAAAAATTTCTAAATCACTCCTTGAACTTTTCAATTTATCACAATTAAACCGCTAAATTTTAAATTCTTACACTTTAATCACTGACCCGATGTTATGGATATTACATTCTTTCCGATGTACTTTCTTTATTCTTTCCTTTTCCTTTGTCAGAACACCAACCTTATTCTTCTTCTCTTCCATTAATATTAATAAATACTATTTTTTTAATAGCTACATACTATTAAAAAATAAATAAAGTTTAAATGAATACTATAAAGTGATTATAAACAAACTGATGAAGTATAAGAAAAGAATGGAATGAATTTATGATTGGGGCAGACATAAACTTCTCTATTACAAAATGTAAAATTGAAACTTTATATTAAAAATTTAAAGGTGTAAAATTATTAAATTTTAGGGTGTGAAATTATATTATCGATTAAAAGATAAAAAAATATGTAAACTATAAGAAAAATAGAAAATTATGGCGAGAATTTTATATTTATGCCCTTGTGTTTAATACAAATACTTGAAAGAATCGGACTAGCATTCGATCCGATTCTCATATTGTAGGAGCAAGTACAATGTTCCATTATTTCCACGTTGAAAGAAACCATAATTTGATTGGGTGAAAAACAAAATTTACTAAGCAGCAGCTGCCTTTTATTCTAGATGATCATGTAAATTGATTGACATGAACATAGCAGCATATTGCAGCAACCGGTGGTCACTGCTGCTTCTGTGCTCCGCAGCGGAAATCATCGGACCTCTATCCCTCATCCGGTAACGCCTCCAGGCGAGTTGTATATTCACAGCAGCCCATGTTTGCCAATTCGATGAATAGTATCTCGCAGTTCTGTTAAGCCTTTCGTTAGCAAATTTGTACCTGAAATGATATGTGATGTATCTGAGATGGTCTGAATCAAGACCAAATGCTTCGACCGATTCCACGCTAACGAATGTTGCGGACGAGACTGGAAGACGGTCGATAAATGGTCGGCGAAGACACCATGAGAGCAGCTCATCACCTAAAAAGCCACCTGGTTTGATGATACTTGTGGCAATCATGCCTTTGCTCAGGCTTTGGGTACGTTGAATGCGTCCGTGAACTACGAACACCATTCTTTGCACTGGATCTCCTTCTCTAAATAGCTATTTCATGGGAACATCAACATGCTTAGCAAACTTTGTATAATTCAAAAGACAGAACACCGTGAAATTGTACCTTTTCATCTTTAGAGAAGACAAGCGGCTTAACTCGGTCGCATATGTTATCAAGAATAAGATCATCCAAATTGTGGAACAAAGGAACCTAACAGGAACAAGTTAAGATTGATTTGGATTAATTCGAAAAGCTGTTAAATTACTGGGTAAACTACTCAAATGACCACTTAACTATGAGCTTGATGTCGATATTACCGCCACACTTTCAATTTTTGGCAATATGATTGCATAACTATTTAAATAGTTTCAATGCAGCCACTTGATGTTAAAACAGATGGTGTAGCTGATGTGGACATCTGACTCGCCGTTAGCGAATAACAGATACATCAGCTATGACATCTGTTTTTAATGACAAGTGACTACATTAAAACTAATTAAATAGTTATGTGGTCATATTGTCAAAACTAAAAGTATGGTGGTAATGTCGACATCAATTTCATAGTTAAATGGTCATTTGAATAATTTATCCTAAATTATTCTAATATAATTCATATAAGTAAAAATATTTGATACATGACAAAATAAGATTTAAACTACACTATCTATTTAAATGTTACCTATCCTATTTAGGGTTTATGCTTTTATTTTTTAAAAATTAAGAGCTTAAATTTAAATTTTAAGATTTTAAGATTTATGATTTAAATGAATAAGAATATGAAGGCCTCCGGAGAACATATTAGAAGCAAAGGCTTTAGATTTAAAATGACATATCTGAAGACGCCCACTCAAAACTAGAACCTCATTCCACTCAAGAACCCATAATTTTGTTGACATAACCTCTAGTAAACCCCACACTTGTTAAGATAAATCAATAAACTCACCACCTTAGTTAAAACGACTTAATATGCTAACCTTCAAATAATAGTCATGACCTTGTACCCAGCCTCGATCCTGATCCTTTTGGGCCCTAGGCAAAATAGTAGATTGGGACTCCTTAAAAATATATATAATAGAATAACATATTTCCTTGTCTAAAACCCTTAAAGTCTCAATCTTTCTTATAAACTTCAATTGATTGAGGATAAAACTTTTGAGTGATGCATTATTCAATTGTGATTTGACTCTATTTAAATTGAAGAAAAAACCTCCCGTTGCCTTTGATAAAAGAAGGTTTAGGAGCTTTGATGTTAATAACGGTTTAATTTTTTTGGGAAATAAGGAAATTTTCCATGAGTTTAAGGTGGGTGGAGATTTAGGAATTGAATTTTAGATCTTGGAAACAGAGAAGAAGGAAGAGAATTCGAAGAGTTTCTGAGTATAGTGATGAAGCAGTCGTGATTCAAGGGTCTTTGATGAAGCTTAAGAGTTTTTTTGAGTTTTTGATAAAGACGTGTGTGATTGATGAGGGAGTAGTAGTACATTTTTTCATTTCTATTTTTATCTTAATAATTTTTTTCTTTTTCTCTTTTATTCTCTAGAACTATTTTTAGATCCAACATGGGGCCTCTTCCTGTCTTCGGCCCATTCGCCATTGTCTAACCCAGACACCCTTCAGGGCCGGGTTGCCTATACCCGACAATAATATTAAAAATCTTTATAAAGGACTCTTAATTGAGATTGAGAAGGGAGTTTGGAATTCTATCACCACTCTTTTTTGTTCTACTTCTTCATGAAAATACATTATTTTAATATAGATTAATGATCGAACTTTCATCAACTATAATTCTCCAATCATATAAGTCAAGTGAGAGAATATTAAATTATTTTAATAGAATTTATTTTTATGGGTCATCAAATTACTTAATGTGATGGTTATTTAGGTATTAGAGTCATTAGGGTTTTAATTTTCTTCCCTCCCTTACTAAAGGAATATTATAGTTAGTAAAGATAGAATTTTTCTCTTCATATATATATATATATATATATATATATATATATATATATATATATATATTTACCTTCTAAGAATAACTTAAAGAAAGAAAAAGAAAACGCATGAGAAAAATATTATATTGGTTCCACATCAGAATTTATTAAAACTAAAAGATATTATTATTTCAATAAATTAATTGTATTACTAGATTTTATTAAAGAATATTATTTTTATTATAGTGTATTAAAATTTATTAAAGTAATAACAAAAGTCTCTTTACTATTTATAGAAGAGTGTAAAATACTAATACTAATCCGATACACTCGAATGCATAATACTTTTTTCATATTTAAAGCGTAATTTAAATCGAACTCATCATATTATGTTAGTGATTAAGAGAATGAGAATATTAGTTTTCTTAAAAACTTTAAATTTAAGTAACTACATTTGTAATATATGTGTACATTATTGTTGATTAAGAATATTCTAAATAGTACTTAATTATAATGGTCCCACTTTAATAATAAACATATCTTAAATCTATATAAATAAATATTTTTTATTTAATTATTAATATTCAATTTATTAATAGCATATTTCGAATAAGTAAATGTTGTGTACCTTTTTGATGAGGTCAAGACAAAGATAACGTTTGATGTCCCTCCGGAGGCCCTCGGGCAAGTCTTTGATCAATTCCATCTCATCTTCTCCCCCCAAAGTCGCCCATCGCTGTCGTTCAAAACGCCGAACTCTTTGTCTCAATCGAGACGGCAACTGCCGACGCTTCATCCACCATTCCATATCTCGACATCTCAGCTGCATTTGTCTCTTCTTCGCCATTACAGCAAGCAAGAAAACCTAAACCTCAAAAACAATCCATTCTCAGTTAAGTTACGTATTCAAAGAAGGTAAATGAGTTTTGAGTCACCTGGATGTTTCCGATGAGCAAAGTGAAGAGCATCAAACCAGCCAGCACTAAGCATATACAGAAAACCACTTCTAGCCAGTGACTTGTCGGCTCCAGAATATTTCCAAAGGTGCTGAAAATTGAAAATATGATGTTTGAGAAATGCTAATGAACGGTCATTAAGGGTTCATGAGGTTTACCTGAGAGTCATTAAGCCCCAAAATATGGGATAAAGGATCTTGACAGCAACCGAGTTGCTAGAAACAACAGGAAGAGCCCACTGATAAATCCCATAACCGAATGGTCCTTTGACGTCGAAGCACAAAGGCCTTCCAGTGACTTTTGAAGAGTCACCAGCACCACAAGACAAAGATAGTTTCCCGCACTGCTCATTTCTCGCACATTGCTGCCGGAGACACAACGCTATCCGCTGCATTGTAAGGACGTACCAGCACCCTCCGGCAACCTGCAATACACCAAAGGTATATTTCCGAAGATCAATCTCCCAAGGTATAACGATATCTATTATCATTCCTAATAAAAAATTGAAGTTTATTGGGAAGACTTTACATGAGAAGCAATGAAGTAGGCAATGAGATTAAGGCCAAAACCCCACCAGATGGTGCCAAAGATATATCCAGTGACCTTTTGCATCCTTCTCATCAAGGAAATGCTATGGTAAACCTTTGGCAGGAATTGGAACAAGAAGATCAATATCAGTATAGTGGCTATATCCCTGATTTGTTCTTCCTCGATTAGTTTTGGTACAACCAACCAGAACACTGCCTGCAAAACAAATCATTAATTATATGCCCTAACTTTTATTATAAATTATAAAGATGGTAAATATACAAATATACCTGAGGAACTGGGAGAATTACAAAGGCATCAAACCAGAAACCTTTAACGGAACGAACATAATGAGAAGCAATGGCACGTGGGTTCCAGACCAGTTTCCCACATCCGACGACGAGGGACTCCCTCGACACGTAAGCCAACCTGAACTGAAGCCATACGTGGAACAGATGCACGGCATCCACACACGTCCGGAGGACGGTAACGATGACGGCAAGCCCACCGTCCATATACAAACAAGCCGACCCATCTCTGCCTATTGACAAGGCATAAAAGAATAGAGGGTCAATGGCTAAGGCCATTGCACGAGCCAGCAGAAATGCCCGGTTCCATTTCTGTACCCGCTTGCTCCTCGGGTCGAGCACCCGTCTCCGTCCGCCAAACGACGGACGAGTTGGTTGCCGAGCGGAGGTTTGAACCGAGTTCTTCTTTGGGCAAGTTCTGGCGTGTATCGGAACGAGGGAAGTGCCGGCGCAGGCTTCCCATTGGGGCGGGTGAGCTTGGTCACAGCTGGTGGAGTGGAAAATCGGGAGTCCCACTTGAGTGCAAGCGTAGCATTCTATGGCGTTGGGAATTGGGGTGTCTTCGTTGATGTTGTCGCCGCCTCCGTGATCAGAGTTGTCCCGGGGAGAGATTTGAAACTGACGACGTCCAATCCACCGGCTGTTGCAGAAAAGAAACAGCAAACTCAGTGATTAAAATACATAAAATGAAAATTATTAGTGACCAGACGACACCATTGTTGCTAGAGATGAATGGGAACCTGGAGAAATTGGACAGAGCAGGCATGGTGAGAGAGTGGAACCATGGGAGAGAAAGAGAGGAGAGGGCTTAGAGAAAGAAAGAAAAGGGAAAGGAAATTGAAGCATGAGAAACAAAACAAAGAGAGGGAAAGGAATAGGAGAAAAAAGTTGAGACGAAGATGGAGTTATTTGGAGTAATTAGTAAAATATGCTACAAGTGAACTGAGAGGTCCCTCTCTGTCATCCCGTTGCATTACACCGTACAGTTATACAAAATTATATCACTAGTTAAATTATTTTTATTAAATAAATGTTAAAAAGGATAAATTACAGTTTACACCTAAATTAACATTTTTGTTTAATTTTAATATTTAAACTTTAATTTTTTTTAAATCATTGACAATAATACTTATGTGACCTGACATGTCACGCCACATTTTTTTATTTGTCATTATTTTTGATTAATTTTATTCACCCAATTAGATGGTGACATGTGTCACTACCTATGAGATAAAAATATAAAAATTATTTTTACTCCTAGTATGAATTGATCTTGAGTATCTTGCCTTACATGAGAAACAAATCACTAAACCATTAAACTAAACTAATCATTTTGGTAAATTTCACCGCATTTTGAATTTAACTTATATAACAATATCACTACAAAATCAACATTTTTATGATTATAATATTCAAATTTAGAACACTTTAAATTAATCACCGAAAATTTAGTTACTCAACAATAGTATGAATTGTTTTTATTATATTCAATTTAATATTTACTTATATCATTATTACATTAAAAGTTAAATTTTCAATTATTTAGAAAAAATTAAATAAACAATTTATATATTTTTATAAATATTATATGAAATAATTATAAAAAGGTATATTTATATTATAAAAGATATTTATTTTTTTTTAAAATCCAATTAATTATTTATTTGAAATAATATTATTTTTAAATTATCTATTTAATTTTAAATAATTTAAATTTAAGGTAAATTATGTGTTTATTATCCAACTATTATTTTGGTTTTGTATAATATTATTTAAAATTAAATAGATAATTTAAAATAACATTATTTCAAATAAATAAATAATATGATTTTGAAAAATAAATAAATATTTTAAAATATTTACATAATATCATAATATTATAAATATTTATAATTAAATTTAAACAGAAACTAAAAAATTTGACTAGACTCGAAAAAATTATAAGTCAACTCGGAGTTGTAAAATAGGATTCAATTTATTTTAATTTATTAAAAGTAGTACTAAATTGAGAGAATATGTAAATAACAGGGACCAAATGTATGATTATATCAAAATATTTAACTGTTGTTAATAATAGTTAACTCAGGGTGACCACATCTTAATTAAATGAAAATGAAAATGACCACATCTATAGTTTTTTGAAATCAGTGATCAAAAGTGGACAAAACATAAACGTAATTGATTTTCCATATAGTTAACTCTAAAATTAAATAGATAATTTAAAATAATATTATTCCAAATAAATAAAAAAATATGATTTTAAAAAATAAATAAATATTTACATAATACTATAAATAACTTTTTAAAATAATTTAATATAATAAATATATATATATTAAATTTTATAAAAATAAATAATTATTTGGTGTACTTATAGGGAAAGAAATAATTATAAAACACCTTGAAAATGATTAGTAAATAAGACACTTGTGGTTATTCTAAATTTTTATGTAATTACTTTTCATTAAATACGAATCGTTAATGAAAATATTATACTAATGCACTAAATGTATGGATTTACAATAGGCTCTTATCGTGCCCATGGATTCTAAAGTGAACCATGAACGTATATATTAGGATTAATTATTTATTATGAAATCAATTTGTAAAACAATCTAAATAATTAATTCAATTTGTTAAACAATTAGAATGGTATTAACAGATGTGTAAACTATATATTATTTTTTAAATCCAGAATTTTAAAATAGTTTATACTAAGATAAAAATTATAAAATATTAAAATTTATCATATTACGATTAATATTACAAATTTAAAAAGTTTCGAACATATGAAATTAAAGCAACGTAACAAAATAATTCTATAATTATGACATTTTATTTAAAAAATGTAATTCTTCGAACATACGTTAGAAGTAAAATCATGACATTTTTTTGAAATATGAGCCTCTTAATTTTGGAACCATATGAATGTGTCACAAACTACACTTATAGATAGACGATTATGTAAATAATGTATTATTGATTTTATATATATATATATATATATATATATATATATATCAAATTTTTATATACTTTTATATTTAGTTTTAATACAAGGACAATATTATTTTAATTTTATTGTAAATCAAACATTAATATTTATTGGATTTTTAATTTTTCTTTGATCGCTGTAAATCATGTATATGCAAACAAACGGCTAAAAGGGACGTGTACGGTTGTTTAGGGTTGAAGGAACCTTCCACGTTAGAACACAAAAAATAAATGATAAAATAAAAACACCACTTGGGAGTTAGAAATTGATTAAAGACAACGAACGTCGTAATCTAAGATGTGTAATACGTCTTGGCTTTATATGTAGAGTTTTAGAGAAATATAATAAATCATATCAAGTAAATAATTTTGATGGTAGAAGAATTATTGATATATCTTAAGATATTAGATTTAAACATCTAAAATGTCAAAGATATGAAGTTTAATGTCAAATAGTTATTTTCGATTAAGAGTTGTCAAATGATAATAATAGTTGTGTAATTGTTATAATGATTAATATAACATGAAAACCGTATTTGGAGGATTTTCATCATGTAATAGAATTTTTAAATAGTTTAAGGTAATTATAAAAATATTATTTATTTATAATTTTTAATTAATCATTGATAACGTATGTACATTGCAAAAGCAACCAGAGATGAAGTTATCCTTTGTCCCATGCACTATCCCCTTCATTTTTATTATTAAAAAAATATATAAAAATAATAATAAATTAGTACTCAAAATTTTAGTTTATCTTGATTTTATCCCCTCATTTTATGATCAATTATACTTTACCTTATTTTTATGATTAATTATAATTTGCCTTTTAAATTGGAATCCTAGTTCCTCCCTTCACGCAACTATTCAAACCCAGAAGAAGAACAATATACTTTTAACTACCAAGATTACTAAATAGATTTAATATGAAATAGAGCAACATATATTAGTTAAATGTTGAGCTACTTTGATATGATGTTATTGAACAAGTTAATAAATGTTAATTTTTTTCATATTTAAATATACAATTTAATAAAAAAAAATAAGTTTTATCTGATAACTTTTAACTATTCATATGATATGATTTTAGAAAATTGAAATATTATTTTTAAGAGTTACACTTTAGTTTATCATATTTTTAATCACATACAAGTATTTACAGTATCAAATCTTATTATTTAGTACAATTTTACGATCAAAATCCAATCATTTCTCTTTTTATTCTTAGCTTAGCATAGTTCATTTGATATACTTACTAAACTTTCAATTAAACATACATTTCATGCCATAATATCTAAGGTAAACTACGCATTTAGTACTTAAACTATTAGTTTTGGTTTGTTTTAGTACTTAAACTTTTAATTTTTCAAAATCATACTTAAAGTTTAGTTTTCATTTCATTTTAGTACCCAACATTAAAAATTTAACGTGTTTAGTACCTAAACTATCAATTTTGGTCCATTTTAGTACCTAAACTTTCCCTTTTTTTCCCTTCAAAATTTAACATTACATTTTGAACAAGGTATACTAAAATGAAACAAAAACTAAAGTTTTTAACAACGGGTGCTAAAATGAAACAAAAACTAAATTTTAGGTATGGTTTTGAAAATTTCAAAAGTTTATGTACTAAAATGGATCAAAATTGATAGTTTAGGTACTAAACACATAATTTACCCTAATATCTATCAAAGATTATACTACACATAATCTATACATTTAAACAATTTTCAATGATAAACCAGTAGACTAGAAGCATCCTGAAGTGATTTAATGGATTCTGTATTGTTTACCATATTGGTAAGGGCAATGAAAGCACCAAATTGTTATGTGCTTAAGAAGAAACAGAAAAATAGGGAGAATGACGAAGATAGAATTAGGAAGAGGAAAACAAAGTTCAGTGGTTTCATACCTTCTCTATACAACTATTGCTATTTATCAAGAAAAAAAAAAGATGATAACAGAATTCCAATAAAGGACAAAGTCCGTTAATGCACGTGGAGCCTTTCTCTCTCTGGTACCCCCGCGTAATTCCTGAACTTTCTTTACGTTTTGCCTCGAGCTAATTGCTTGGGCATCTCCTGCAGCTTGGCTAGAATTGGTCTCATGGGTGGTAACTTTTACGCTATTCTCAACAGTGCCATTGACAGAATAAAGAGGTCTGCATGAAATTAGAGACCTCCATTGTATGTACAAACGGCTATTTCCAGAATATATTTGAACACTGGCGAGAATAACCTGAAATTACTCCTTTTAAGATTTGTATTAAAAAATTGTTCCCATCTGTGACACTGATAAATTTCCTCAAAAATATAATTTTGAAGTCCCATCAAACAAGATGGTATATGTTTGACTGAATATACTTTTGTGTGAAATTTCAACATTTGGTTCGTAACATATAATGCAAGTGATTATAAATCCTATCAAACAATAACTAGCTTCAAGACCCATAAATTTTATTATTGAAGTCAGATATGAGATTGTTCACGGAAAATGTTAAAGAAAAGTTAAAGAAAAAAGGGGCTGGTTTGCGGGTTCAATCAGAAAGAGGTTGATAGTTCATGAAAGCACGTAGAACCAACAAAGGAAAACAGCAGAGAAATATTGAATAAGATGGGTCCTACGCCTAATTATAGAGTTGATCATAAAATCAAAAAAGAGGATTTCTCTGTAAATATGGTGGAGCGAGGGAGAGGACACTATAGCAAAACAGAGTTTTAGCGGCGTTTTTAAGCGCCGCTAAACGCACTTACGGCGATTGGAAAAACGTCGCAAGAAGCGCCGGCCATACCAGCACCGCTAAAGTTAGCGGCGTTTGAGAACAAAAAATGTCAAA